GAGAACACTTTTAAGAGGCATAAACGATCTTAAAGTGACAGCCTGGAAGAACCCGATTTTTTAAAAACAGAGAAATGAAGAAGAAAAAAGAAATATTTTTTCTTTGCAAAAGAAAACAAATGTATGTTTTCAAAAGGCAGAGAAATATTGAAATAGTGAATTAGTAGTGAAAAAGTAACAAGTAACGAAGAAAAAAGTTAAAAAAAGGAGCGGCATTACATGGTTCTTGAGGGGTTACCTACGAATTCACTAGTTAGTTTCAGGAAATAATGCGTTTAATTACGGGAATGCAGAAGAGAACGCAGAAAGTGAGCTGAAGATGTGGAGAATGGAGAGGTGGGGAGAAAGATGAATGCTGTTACCGTAGTAAATCAGCGTGGCAGGCGGACGCGAGGGACGATGAAAAGCAGCGAGTAGGAAGGCTGTTAAAACTCAGGACGTCGCCTGCCAGGCGGGTTATACAGGCGTTAGATGGTCGTCAACTGAGCAAATACATCCAACTCAATACTAAATTTGAAGAAAATTTAAAGGTGACGATAAGAAACATGTGACAACTGTGATATAAAGTAAGTGTAATTTTTCTCTTTTTTTAACTTTTCAGTTCTCTTAAAGTCTCTGTAGTGTCAGGTGATACAGTGACGAGCAGAAGAGTGAAAACGTAGGAACCAGAAGTAAGGAATTGGTTCATAGATATACTAGTTCCTCATGTTGCAATGATGGTTACTGAGACTAAGCTGTGCGGTAAAATACGGCAGATCGTAGTTACTACGGTTGCAGCCTATGGCCAATAGAAGTGCAGATTGGCTCCACTTGGTTCTAGACCTTCGGTTCTTATCGCTGCTCTCACGGGTTTGTCTGTGAGCATGGTACCATCCAATAATTAGTTCTGCCAATTTATTTGGTTTCTTGTTCTGTAATTCAATCAAATTGGTTACTGTTTGTTTAGGCTTCTTATTGTTTACTTGTAATTAATTTGCTTATTAGTTGAAGTCTTTACCTGCCTGAGTCATAGGCCTATCATGAAATATGCGTTTGAAGATTGCGGCATTAAAAATACTTCAGATGAAGAGCTACATAAAAGCAATCGTTTTTCGCATTAAATGAGATAAACTATCCGAACAGACGGCTACAGACGCGTTCATTTCTGATTTGCAATTAAGGAATTTTCGCAGTGGGATCACAATCACGGAAATGCTGCCGATAACCGAGAAAAATGCTGACTTAACTTCAGACTAGAGCATTTTTACTAAGCTTTTTCTGGAAGCTTAGCAGTCATTTTGTCACCGTTCTGTTCGCCATATTTATGGGGCTAAACTAAAATTGCTAAATTTTGTCGAGTTGTGATGTCCTAGCCAAGGCAGTTGCTGAAATGTGGTGCAAGGGCTAAATTCTTATACTGCTAGTTTTGTTACTTTATTAGAATTTAAGCGGTAAAGTGCCTTAAAGCAAGAGGTTTGAAAAACAATGACGTTAAAGGTTGATAAACAGCATATTATCAACAGTACATCACTCAGACGTGTAACATAAATATATAGTGCTCTTTTACAGAGATCAAACGAGTAACCCTGTGGGCTTCAGTATAGCGCCCTGGCACAACGCCAAGTTCGCTGGAACCTCTCCAAAACGAGGCATCACGAGGATTTTTAATTAGAATTAGGAATGAACTTCCCTATAAGCCTTTTAATTCTAACCTGTCCCTGAAGATTACCAGGGATTGCCAAAAAGAAATGTGTCTTTGCTGAGACTGTTCTAATCGCTTGGACACCAAGTTTGTTTGGGGATTGACATCAGAACGGTTTTCAAGTCTCAAGGATTCTTATTCCGGAGAAATCTCATAGTCGTTAGACAACTCTAGTAGCGAGCAGCTGAATTAAACTAGCCTGACTAAGTGTGACCTATCGTTTTACTTTGAATTACATGCTACTTCTTCCGGCTCTTCTCTTGTCCCCTGTAAAATTCTGCAGCATTTCCTAAAGGTTTTTCGCCAACCAGGACATTCGTTTCGAAACCAGCTTATACTTGTTAGGAAGTTCTAAGGGGCCACTTTTTCGTGTTAGTTTGATTAAGCGTTATTGATCAATCTTCTGAGTTACGTGTTCCAGATGGATAAAGAACATCCCAGAGGCAAATGAAACACGAAGAACAAAAAAAGGCACACGACTGGAGAAATAGATTGTTGGCTCTTAATCAAATTGGCGTACTGAGTAGTCCGTTTTTAATGCTTTCTATCAAGTATAGGTTGGTTTCGAAATGAATGTCCCGGGAAACAAAAAGCTTCTCGAATTGCTGCAGGCTTTTACAAGAAAAAGTAGCTGAAAAGAATAAAATGTAAGTTAAAAAAACGGTATGTTACCATTAGTTGAACTAGTAAAGTTTAATTGTTCATTATCAGAGCTATCTAACGAATATAGGATTTCTCCAGAGTCCTGAACGATTAAAAACCGCTCCGGAGTCACATCTGTAAGAAGCCTGATACCTGACCAGTTAGAATTGTTCTGAAAAAAAAAACGTTTATAAATCTGTTTGGCGGAATCTACAGGAGTAGCTTGAAAATTAAAAGGCCTGTGGCCGCACCCAGTTTTTACTTGTTGCAAAGATATTTATCGCGACGAGTAATTGATAAAAAATTTGGCGTAAGTTCAAATTAAAGCGTCTTTACTGTCCCTGTGCGGAAGCTTTGAAGTTGTTTTGGCATCATTCTGTCGGGCAAATTTGTGGCTACTCGGCATTACAAGTCATTGCTGAAATTTATGGTTTGTTTCCCTTGCTGAGTTATTTCAATTTGTAGGCTGATGTCGTTTTACACTGTTTGTCACTTTTTTTTTTATTAAAAACAACTTCGTTTTCCCCGTGACTTTACTACTTTCTTCTCACTTTTAAGTTTGTGTTTCAATGTTAAATTATTTTTCAGGATGAACGAGTCTGTTTTTTTAAGAATTTATTATTTTGATAGATACAGAGGTTTTGCTTACGTGTGTTTAGTGTATTTTTTTCCGTCTAATATACAAGTGAGTACATTTTTCAAAGGTGACACCTGTTTCTTCTCATTTTCTTTAAAAGATGACTTTGCTTTGCATATTAATTCTTCACTGTTTACAAATACACTGCAATTTACATACACTGGACTGTTTATGATTCATTCCGGAACGGTTTTAATGTATTCAAGATGCTCATTCTGGAAATCACTAGCATATTTTTGGGACGGGTGATTTAGCGAGTAGTCCGACCGAAGGTCGTTGGCCAGTCTTCTGAGTTACGTGTTTTTTTTTTTTTTTTTTTTTT